TTTAAGGGTGAATGTTAAACAGGGAGGGTTTAGGGTTTAAGAATTGCAGCCACCCAGGAAGGATTCGAGATGACGAGGGATAAGGGATGGCGTAATTCTAGGCAAATGGAGGGAAGGAGTCCTCATACGTAATATACGGGGTTAGGGTAGCGCAGGGGGAAACAGCCCAACAGCTAAAGGTTTTCTTGGTTTCTATGACCCATCCGGCAGGTACCCTTACAGGGCCTGAGAGGAAAAGGCTTACCGGGGCAAGATTGCGCTTGAATAGACGAAGTAAGATAGGATAACTTAGGCAGGGGAGAAGGGTGGTACATCCTTCCTCATGGAAGTAAGCAATGCCGCCTTCTCGGACCTCCCATCCATAATGGGGAGGAGCTTGTGTGTACCTTTCATGTTCTCCATTTTGAAAAAAAAAAAAAAAAAAAAGGAACCGGACTGACGCACCCGGCAGCGTAAAAGTGGAGAGAAAGGGAGGTTAGAAGATATACCCCACTAAACTCAAGAAGTAAGCAAGTTCATATAAGTTCCTTGTTAGAACAGGGTAGAGCTGGGTAGAAACAATTCTAGCAAACCCTTAGACGCCAGCCCTGGACATCAGCTCTAGCATTCAGGTTCATCCGACAGCACTCAGCTGAGAGGAGCTAGGAGCCAGGCGGCTCAGAGGATCAGAAGGTAGAGGATATAGGCTAACTTAGGCAGGGGTGAGGGGTGGTACATCCTTCCCTAGGGAAGTAATCAATGCCGTCCGCTCGGGCCTCTCAACCATAATGAGGAGGAGCATGCGCGTGTCTTCATTGTATCCATATTTGTATCCATATACCTTTCTCGGCCTTTTGGCTAAGATCAAGTGTAGTATCTGTTCTGATCAGTTTAATATCTGATCCGTGGTCCATCGGGCCACATAAAAAAAAAAAGGAACCGGACTGTTGCTCCCCAGAATGGCAGGAGCCAGAACCGAGAGGTTCTGTTTTAAAAAAAAAAAGAAAAAAAAAAAGGGGGTACCCCACAAATCTAGCCCAAAACCCAGAAAGCAAGTGTATAGCTCTTGAGACACGCAGAAAACCGGCAACCATAGCACATGCCGTGAGGAACTATACACCACCCAGTACAAAAGACAGTCAATGGGCAGGCAGCCAAGTGAGCTGTAGACACCCAGGGTGCAGAAAGGCAAGAAGAATAGGAGAAAGTCACTGAAAGGCAGAGAAAGAAAGGGTAGGACTTTATTTAGTATTTACATCACAAAAGTAGAAGTAGCAGCTGGTTTGAATAGAGGGACTACCAAAAGGCAGAAAAAGGGAAGGACAAGGGTACGAAGGCTGGAAAGAGTTCAGGGCGGATATGTGAAACCCAACAGTCAATCCTTCCGAACGAAGCAATCAATGCTATCAGGGGATGGGGCAAGATAAAGAAGGGAGATGGTAGCAATAGATGATGCAGAAACTCAATACAGGAGTATGGGACAGTGAACAACGGGCCAGTAGCAATAGGCTAACTTAGGCAGGGGTGAGGGGAGGTCCATCATTCCAGATTGCAAATAATCAATGCCATCCGCTCAGGTCTCTCTACCATCAAGGGGAGAAGCGTTGGAGAGTGTTGTATTCTGTATTTTGACTTGCCGCTGGAATAGGTATCGGACTGATGCTCCACAGAATGGATATGGAACCGGAGCCTTAAGGCTCTGTGTCAAGTTAAAACAAAAGAAAGAAAGAAAAGAGAAGGGGTACCCCACAGAAAGGTAAAGTGCATGAGACCATCCTACATGGGACACTTGGACTTAAATCCCTCCTCTCCGGGCTTGGGCACTTCTGTCCCACTGCTTAGTTCTATCGGGGCCATGTATGATCTGACCTCTGCAACCCACGTGGCCAGTCTCTAACTGATGAAATCTTGATGTCTTCAGTCGGGTTGCACCCCACCTCCATCTATCATATGTCCAAGGTATAGGACTCTTTGCTTCGCCCAGTCAGACTTCTTCGGATTGAACTTGAACTTGCCCTCTCTCAATTTGTCTTCTTCGACTCCACATCCTTTTGCAGCTTATCTGCCTCTGCCTCTGCCTTTGCCTGAGCTAAGGCCTTCGACTCCTCCTGAGCCTGCTTCTCTTTCAGGGTCGTGTGCAGTATGTTCGCCTCCGCTTTTGCTTCTGTCTGCTAGCTGCTGGGACTTTTCCATCACCTTCTGTTTCTCATCCTTTGCCTTCTTTAGAAGCCTCTGTAATTCCCGCTCCAACTGTTGCTCATTGTCCTCTATCTGGCTTAGGCGGGTGTTTGCAGATTGCAGCTTCTTTGTGAGGGGCTCTTCTACGTAAATCAGAGGTTGGACCGGTGTGAATTCCTTCTGCAATTCACTGGTCAGGAACTGCCCCATCTCGGCAGCAGTCTCCTCCTTCCGCAGCACGAGGGTTTTCTTCTTCTCCAACTGCTCTTCCCCTTCTTCTTCTGATTCTGACTCCTCTTGTTTTTCCTCTTCTTTATTTTCTCCTCTCCTCCTCCTTCCACCTTCTTTTCTCCTGTGTCAGAAGTCGCTGTGTTGCATACCGTAAAGGTGCAGACAGAACAAGAACCGACCTTTCAATACAAGGTATAAGATAGCACAGCGGAAGACTTAGATACCAGTGATCCGAATAATCAATGTTGCAATGCAGCCCTGAACATACATCATCATCATCGTTGCATAGTGTGAATGGGGCCTGACGCTTCACACAGGAAGGCTGCGCCAGCCCATAGCATACACAGACGAGGAGGAAGGGAATAGACGAAGAGGAGGGGGAAGATGGGAATGTCGTCAACACCAAGTCTTCGGCATAAGCCCAAATAGTCCCTCGTCGAAATGTCTGAATCCCAAATGTCAAGTCTGGATCCAATGTCGTCAAGTCTCAAGTCACAACTCTGTCTCTCTCTGTCGTAGTCTGAGAAGTCAGGTGGCGAGAGGG